ATTTACTTGAGTAGAAGTAAAAGTATCATTTGTAGAATGTCAGATCTATCAAAAGTGTACTTAATAATATCAAATCTGTCAAAACTGTAAAGGAGCTTTCAGGCCCAAAACTTGCAGTTAATGTGTTACAGTCAGACCTATAAATATCTGAATGTCGTTAAAGTTATTGTTATTTTAGCTGTCCACCACGGCCCTAGGGCTGCAACCAAGTTTTAATAATAACAATTAAATATATGATTACAGTAGTTTTTCCAATTGCTTTTAATCCCCAACTAAAATGGTTGTGGGGAGGGGTTTTGTATAAGAATGGTTGTAATTGTTACATCAACTCCAATATGCTGTGGTAGAAATAGCAGTAACTTTATGGTAAATGCAGTAAATGCATTTATGCATTTTTAAACGCAACACTTGAAATGGTTGCTTAATCTGTAGTTTATATACCAGGTATGTTGGTTAGCTAGCGCAATACCTAAAGTTTTAGTTAGTTTTAAATGAATGTGATCTGTAACTTTCTAAACCTTTGGTCTTTTATCTCAGGTTGAAATTTCATGAGTCTTAAGTCTTGAATCCGAGTCTCAAGTCAGTTCAGAGGTGAGGCTAAGTTGAGTCACTAGTCAACATTAGAATTAAAGGCAGCTCAAGGTCGAATCACTGATTCAAGCCCCCATCCCTGCTAGCTAGTCTTAGGGATCTCACACTGATCTCAGCTTGTTATTAAACTTCTTCTTTGTCATGGGAGTAACTCAATTCAATGGGATTAATAATTCAGTTAGCCAGCTTGTGACTGTTTACACCACTCCCATCTGGAAAAAGGCTAAAGGGCATTTGGCCAAGTCCTCCAGAGTCATGAAAAGTTTCTTCCCACAGGAAATCAGACTGCTAAATGGATTTACGTGATGGACCTCTAAACACTCTTATTGAACTGCTACCTCAGCCTTACTGCTCACTTTTATCTGTTGCACTTTACCTTCTGCACTCAGCCACTACATATCCATACGTTGTCTGCAGGTTTATTAACCTTTCTGGTTGCATTCTCAAATACTATCTGTGCACTGATAAAAACACACACACACATAACTACTATTGCTGCTGCAGGCCAACAGCTGGTCTATTTTCTCTATGGCCCTGTGCTCAATGGTGTTGTGTAGTTGTAGTTATTGTTTGTAAAGAAGAATTTATTGTATAGCATTTGTGTAGTGTGTCTATAATCATTGTATTTATTGTCTGCTGCTCTTCTGTGTTAAATGTAGCAACATGTCCTGGAGAAACTACATTTTGTTCCACTCTCAACACATCTGTGATAAGAAGAAATGACAATAAAGCTGACTTTGAAAAATAAAGCCCTCCTCAAACGCTTGTGGTCTTTCAAAGTCTACTTTAAGACACATCACTAGAAGACAGTTTTTTTCTATCATTAAATAAGAAGGTTTCACTTTGAAGACCACTGCAGCACTACTGTGGGACACATGTAAATACGTTCACAGTGTGTAATGCTATTTACATTTCTCCTTTTGGTCGGAGTGTCCCTTTAAGTATGGCGATAAATGGTTGTAGCTGTACACTGAAACTCAAACTGCAGCTGCAGCCACCCACACACATACACAAAGGGTGCAGCATCGCTACTCCATATGACGCAGGCAGAAGACAAAAGATGGAGAGTCACGTCCAGCTCCTTGACTCACCTTCAACAAACAGGGAGAGATTCAGGGAGACAGAGCGACATCTAGTGGGCTGCTCACACAATCACAATAACAGACCCTGCCGTCTGTCTTAGCTTACTGCTTACTTAAATGCTATGTGGTCTTCAGTTTAATGCTGCTATGCTAACCTAACTGTAACTTCAGTATCGAGAACTACAGGGATTTTGCCTCTTTTTTAAAACACAGAAGCTCCATTTTTGTAATAAATCCTCTTGGGGACCTACTAAATGTCCTCGGAACGCCGAAACGGTCGTGTTTTGAGTTATACTGGGGACATTTGGTCCCCACAAAGACCGAACGGCCACACACACACACACACACACACACACTCGGGGAGAGCTCTGATGACTCACCGCTCCTCCTCCGCGTGAAAGCGAGCCGAGCGCGCGGGGAGGCGGCGGCGTCACCGACTCCACTGAGTCAGAGCGCAAGAGAGGAGGACAAGGAGCGCGCGCACGCGCGTGCACGGACAGGACACTTTTAATGAACTTCTGAGGAGCTCAGCCAAGAGCAAAAGGCCCGAGAGAGCAGAATCTCACTGAAAGAAAGCAAGAGAAAGACAATCACAGCAGAAATAAGAGAGAGAGAGAGAGGAGTGAGGGGTTAGTGCTGCACTAACACAGCCAGGCTTTTTTCATTATGATGCCATTTAATCTTTTAGCTGGTGATGAGCTGACTCAGAGCTGTCTCCTTTACTCCTTCTCTCCCTCTTTCTGACACGCAGTCAATTTGGTGAATGAACACTGCAGAATCAGAAACAGTCTTAATAGAGTACACTGTGTACTCTATGATTACAGTGGTGCCACATCACAGTGATTCAACTGTAATTACCCCTCCTGACCTTGGGGGACCCTCAGGAGACTTTATTTCCCATCAGTCCCTGCACCTCCTGCCTCATACAAGCCCTAAAGAAAAGTGGCACCAGCAGCTCTAATTACACCACTGATGGGGGCAGTGACACTAAGTGGAGGACAGACATGAGAAATGACAGCAGTGTGTGACGCTTGCACAGCTCAGGGGTGCGTCAGAGAAACACACTGCAGAGCCCTGCTGCTGGAACACACTCCGCTGAAGGACATCTCAGAGCGGCCAGCTGATTAGGTACATCTACCTTCAGAGAAAGCCTAATGGTTTCTGGGAACTAAAAAATACATGTGCCAAACTTTTAGTTAATTTTTGTTCAATAGATTCACGCTTGTATTTAAACTTTGCAAGTAGCACAGCACTACTTTTATTTTGTTTTGAATTGAAAGGATTAAATTCTTGAACCAGCCAGCACAAAATCGGTTAATCAGGAACTGCTTTTCTCCAAAGTATCTAGGAAGATATAGCTAAGTGAGCTCTCATATTGGTTAGGACTTCAGGAGCCGAAGGGAAGTCCTAACCTATTAGATTAACCATCAGCATAATTTCGAAATAACAGAGTCAACTAATTATGCTTTTATTTCCAGTAGGTGGGTCCAATTTCTTGAGAAAAAGTCACTCTAGGCCTTATGGGACTCCTAAATACGTCACTGTCTGTGTATGCGAGCAGCAGCCTTACGAATGGGGTGTTAGAAATGGATCTGTATCAGCTCTATATCAGGACTCTGTACTAGTCACTGTGAAACTGCAACAAGGTAAAATATATACTGTTTGTCACAAGCTTTAAGTTAAACATGAAACGTCCTTTTAGAAGATTCAAATGTCTGTGCTTAACATTGCCCAAAAAGGTGTTAATGCAAATCGCACTTAACTTAGTGCTACAAATTACTAGAATCCTACAGCGATGCTAGCAGAAGTTATCATAGAGGTGGGTTTCTCCCCCTAATGTTTTGACTGAGTTTTGACATTTATAGCCCTAACTGAAGGCCTAGCTCTAATGGTCACTGTTTGCCACTGAATTTACCCTTTACCACATCCATTACCAGAAAGGGACCACCATAGGACGGACCACTGCTGACTAGATATTATCTAGGTGGTGGATCACTCACAGCACAGCAATGACGCCACCTACCTCATACTCGAGCTCTACCTTATTGCCCCACTATATACCATGTACAATTACGGACCGAAAAAATATCCAGCTGACCACTGATGAAGGACTAGGGCAGGGGTGTCCAATCTTATCCGCAAAGGGCTGGTGTGGCTGCAGGTTTTTGCTCCAACAAAGCAGGAGGTCACCTGATGAAATGTTTGAAGACTAAGACCAACTGATTAAACAAGTAGAATCAGGTGTGCTTCAGCTTGTTTGGAGTGAAAACCTGCAGCCACACCGGCCCTTTGTTGATAAGATTGGACACCCCTGCACTAGGGGACGAGCTACAGTCTTGTACACCTACAAGGTGGGTGTTTCCAATAAAGTGGCCCATAAGTGTACACAGTGTTTGAAAGCCCGAGCAACACCCAGCCATGTCAGAGTCATTATAGGAAAATACGTCCATTTGACAGCCATCTTTGCAACAACAACCCTGGGCAGCTATTTCTAGTCGTACAAGACCAGGCTCCAATCTCTTTGAATTAGGAGAGATCTATAAAACTGAAACTAGAAGTCATAATTATAAAACCACTGATAAAGGCTGACAAAAATAGCATGAATAGTTTGAAGTGTTTTGCTCAAATAATGCACAAAAATGTGATTTATCAGGTTATTTGGGCTGCTGTGCGTATCTCCACAACAAGGGGGAGCTTTTCCCACCTGTGACTTTATCAGAAAGCCGATTGGCCCATTTAATTTACGGTTGGGTGTTCTGCGTAAACAGATGAGCATTATAAGCTTTCTCTTTCATGGTACAGCCAGTGACCTGTCTCCTTCTTGATAACATCTTACCTATGCAACAGTGGGTCAAACTCTGTTGCCTATAAATCATTGACATTGGCTACTGCTCCATATTATAGACCACAAATAACAGATGTAAAAAGCATTGGAGCAGTCTGAGCTGGAGTTGAGAGAAGTTGAGAGAAGTTTTGGGGCTGTATTTATGGAAAAGATTTGGGTGACTATTGACTTCTAGTGTTTCTTACCAACATTAGCTTCGGTTTTAAACTCAAGAAGCTTAACTTAACACCAAACATTTCTTTGCTGACTAACTCCATCTTGGGTAAGTGGAAAATTTTGTAAACCTGATTTCATGCCGAACCATTCCTTTAACAAACATTAAAGTTAGGACAGTTGTCCTTTCTCTTATGACGTTTTAACAGCGTGTATGTATATATATATAATATAATATATATATATATATATATATATATATATATATATATATATTTGTATGTATCAATTCAGAACAGTGCACACAGCAGGATGACTAACAGCACTAGTGTGTCTTTGTGATATTTTATTGGTCATCGAGACATGCATACTGTATTTTGCCTACAGCTTCTTCTTAAAGACACATTAAATGCTTGTTGTCTGTTATTCAGATCAGCAAAATCACTTTACAAGCAGTTTTACCAAAATTCTATATAACACACTGTTTAAAACACAGAAGACATTTTACATACAAACTGCAGGCCATACACACAAGTCTTTATATAGCTAAAGGTTTAGATTAAGTGTAAGTTGATGCTTCCTCTTTTGTGCAGCCAGCTGACTGGCAAATTTAAGCAAATAAATAAAAGAAAGCTAAAATATTTAGGTGCTCTCATTCTGTACACTTTAGTTTCTCAAAAAAAAAATTAAATGAAAGCACCGAAAGAAACTAAAAGGCAATGGAATTCACCTCAAACTTTCTTCAGTCAAAACAGGTGAAAGCATGTCTAACCATTACTATTGTGAATACAGAGATGCACCTGTTGGGCTTGTATGGTAAATGTGGCTACTGTACAGATTCTGCTACAGCAAAATCTCTGAAATCTTACCGTATAACTGCAGACAGTGGGACCCTTTTTACCTACAGTGGAATGTTATATCTTTTTTGGAATGCTACACAGAAAAACAGTAAAAGATGTGCAGAGTAATACTTTAAAAATTCCTATGTAGGATGTATCATCAATACAATGCACTGCAAATCTACTGTAGGTATTCAGAGTACTTCCAAAAAGAGAGAATGCTTTAAGGTATGAGAAACAAAACACACCCAATCTTAAATCATCAGTTTAGCATTAAAGATATCCTAAATTATATCATTTCACAAAATAAAACTTTTTTAAAGGAAGCATATCGTGTAAGTAATATATAACCCAGATTGTCTTTACAGTGTAATAATATCCTTTGCTGAAATATTGTAAAAGATAAATTATTCCATGAAAATAAACCAAAAAAAAATCAGAGTTTATGTATCTAGGTAGACTTTTGTTGTCTTTTTAGGCTCTACATGAGCAAGTGGCCCACAGATATTGATGCATTGGCACCTCAGACTGAATTGACCTATCCATGCTCCACCCACAAATGCGTGCTTTCATAGCAACTGTTGCTAGGCTGGGCAAGCTTTACAGAACATTGGCTAAAATTCCATTCAACCTATTGAGAAACTGTAGCATGCTTTGTTTCCTGTTGCTACATAATGTTGAGCTTCCAGTTTAAAATGTTATGCTAACATGCTAATTTTAGCATGATTACACGAAAAACAATCTATATTCAATCTGTCTTAACTGTGAGCCTTTAGAAGCATAGAAAAATAGGAAGAGCTGGTTAGTATTTGCTTAGCTAGCACAATAACAGCTCTGCTCACCACAGAACATGTTTGATTCTGCTAACTAAGTACCGACACAAGTTTAGATGATACTGATTCAAATCTTAGGGAGTGAAGTCGAGTAACTGTCGTTGGAAGGACAGAAAGACAAAATTAAACACACTGTGTGGTGTTTGGTTCTGTAGCCTGGTAACGTTAAGTTAGCCGATTGGGCTACAGATCCAAAAACTACAGAACGTATTTAATTTAAAAACGCCAGTTACTGGACTTCACTCCCTAAAATTTGAATCATTATCATCTAAACTTGTATATTTGCTTTAGTTAGCAGAATGCTAATGCCATACACCACAGTATGTAGTTGAGTGTAGATGATAAAAACTAATGTCTGAGAGAGCGAAAGTGGAGTGACTCGTGTTGGAGTGACATTTTGGGACTGCAGTGTTTTGGCTAAGCTAACATTAGCTTAGTCATTAGGCCAAATGCCACACACATCACAGCACAGACTTGGTTCCAGCTTTCTGTTGCTAAAATGACACCCATTTAAAGGATATCTCAGAGTGCAGAGTTAAGTGACTGCTGTTAGAGTGAAAGCTGAAATCATGTGGTGTTTGTAGCTCTTTTTCGTCGTATCATGCTTAGTTTTTGTGAGGTTTCTTGTGGCTCTAATTTTCCCCCCTCTTTCTATCAGCGCCACCTATTGGTGAGCTCCCTCACCACCAGTTAGTGAGCCCCTCTAAAATTTAAGTGGGTTTATTTGGCTGTTTAGATGTGGAATAAAAATTTCACATCATAATTTTGAAAAACCAGCACCATTTTTAATTCCGCAGTATACTTTATTACCATTATACTGCACAGCCCTAATACAAATTATGACATGAATAATACATCCTAATTGGAGGTAATCTGGTACAAACTTGTTCACAAATATCTCATTTGGTTCAAGAGAATTTTGGCCAACATTGTGTAAAACCTGTCTAATCTAGTCACACATGCTACAAAAGAACACATCAGTGGGCGGAGCACAGATAGGTCCATTATTTAAGCAACTCAGATTTTTGGTATGACTTCCAAGAGGGCAAAGAGTGAAAATCAGAACTGTTCTTGATGGAAAGTGTATGTTTGTGTGTGTGTGTACATTTGAACAGCTTTTAGCCTGTAACACACTTTTTCAGGCTGTTTTTCTTTCGGAAGAGTCCTCAGCCACATCACGAATGACCAGCAAACCAGCTGCTTCTTCTCAATGCTGTTACTGATGTCACAGCTGTCCATCTCGGAGAGGAGAGAGAAAATTGCGAAGAACGGCAAGGAAAAAAAAAGTGAAGAAGAGAGATGGAGAGAATGAAAGTGAGGGTGAGGAGCTGTGAACTGAGCAGACGGCAACAACACACGGAGCGTGACTGATTGCAAAAGAGTCATGGACTGTGGGCTGCATCCTGCTGGGGACACTCAGTAATGTAAGCTGTGACAAAACCTAAGAGACTTTGTTCCAATTAGAAATTTCCATTACAAAATTTAGCTTTGATCTGATAAACAGGCTCGGTATCAGCACCGATACTAACCTTGTGACGGATCTACATTTGATCTGCAACATTATTCATTTACACAATCCTAAAAACAGTGGTAAATCATGGTACATTAGCCTCTACTAGGTATGTCTTAATATTTGTTACGATCTACTGAGACCTATCTGATGATTCTGCTACTGTAATACTCTGCAGTGAAATCTCTTCACTTTCTGTGCACAGCGTACTCTGTCAAGAAACGCGCTGTCTGGTAAGGCAGAACACTGCAACTAGTTTTCCTCCAGTTGCGAGTAAAAAACATGGTGTTTTTTGTATGTGCTTCTAGTGGCATGCTACTCATGGTAAGTGGCAAAAATAGGCTATAGCAATAGCTGCTCTCTAATATGTTATGTGCCAGCGTTCAATGCAATGCGTCTAGCTCAAACACAGCTAAGCCACTGTCACTGCAGAGTTGTCATATTCCACTGTAAAATAATTTCACAAGCCAGACAATTAGATCTCTGTAAACTTCTGAAAACATGCCTCATCTCCGCAGGTTGTTGGAGATGCTTGTTTACTTCACCTCTACAACAGTGGTGCAGAACGCAAAAAAAGGACTGGAAATAGATTTGGCTCAAAATAACTGATACCTTATCCATTAAAGGATGCCTTGACCAGCTCAGATCCAGATCCTTTGGATGAGATCAGGACAATAATAGCCTCTACTGTATGTCTATGTACTTCTCTACTACAAAACCAGAATGCCAGAGACCCGGATCGGTTGACAGTATGAGTTCAGATACTGAAATCAGTATTGGGAGAGAAAAAGTTGTATCAGCGCAACCCTATCATAATCTGAATGCTGCCACCTGTGCCTGTATGTGTGGCCTAACAATCTGTCAACCTGCTGAACACTATACAAGAACTATACAACATTTTACTTTAACTCATCTTTAAAATACTGAATCTTATAATAGCTGCAACTGCCCAAGTGATCATGTATTACTATAACAATCTTAAGCTTCTGCTGCTTGTGGATGATGACATGCACAAAGACTGGGGGCTTCGGTTCTGCTTTGAGAAAAGCATCTGTCTGCTACATCAAGTTACGCAGTCCGGAAAATCTCCATCCCACACTTCCACTCCCTCCATTCCTCCTTCTATCTTCTTATCCTCTCCTCTATTCCTCCTTCTGTCCTCTTATCCTTTCCCTTCATTCCTCCTTCTGTCTCTCATCCTCTCCCTTCATTCCCCCTCCTGTTTTCTCATCTGCTGGTGTCTCCCTCTCTCTCCTCTTCCCTCAGTCGGACCACTCGTTCTCGTCCAGCTCGGAGTCCTCGTCTGATTCGCTGTACTCCACGGCGATGCGGCGGGACAGGATGGTGGCCACATCGTTGCCCACTGGCTCTTTCTTAGCCTCCAGCTCTCTCTGCTCCTGCACCTTTCTCAACTGTATACCTGAGAGAAAGAGGCGAAAAGTCGAATCATATTAAAGGGACTGTATTCTACAATTTTCTTATATTTTATTTTTCACCCAACTCCACTTGTGCGTACCAAAAACAAACATTATTTATGACAATTTTCCAACTTCTCTTTACCCCTTAGTATTATATGAGCTGCTTTTTTTACTGTTTCTGTAAAGAAATATTTCAGTGGAAAACCTAACATTCCTTCTTTTTCTCCTCACCCCAAATACAGTCGATCAGCCAAGACATGTCAGAGTATTGCTTCTTTAGTTTAGAACTGGATCTGCTAAGCAAGTTAGTATTCACCAGTTTCCACAAATACATGTCAAAATCTTCACATATTTACCTTAAATTGTGTTAATAATCTACTAATTCAATACATTTAATCTAAAACTAGAATTACATTATCTTCTGTGTAATGTCTCACTTTCTGCTATTCCACCTTCAGTCTTTGAGAGGCTGAAGCGCAGGGGATAAAGCTCACAGTGAGTCATATTGTGTTCTAAACCATGTCGACTTGTCTGTGCGACCTTAATTAAGGCCTGTTATGTTATGTACTTTATCGATCCTTCAAAAATCTGTCATTTTGCTGCCTAACTGGGAGTAGCACAGTGTCACCAGCAAAGCAGTGTCGCCTGGGGCTGGGGTGATTGCCGTGGTGTATCTTTGTGACTGCTGACTTCCAGTGTTAGCAACATGAGACTAGGAGGTCCAGTTTTAACTCACATCATTGAAATTGAATTGAACTGAAAATCATATAATTGTTTATTTCAGCTGTACTATTCCTTTAACACTGATATAAGTAGATGATCTCTGTTCTGATTGGCCACCCTTTATTATGCCTCATTCAAAAAGCAGGCTGGGCTGAAATGCCCTGAAAAAAGAGTTATGTTTTGACTGAATTCTATAAAAAGAATAAACGTCAGCCACTTCTTTCAGTTGCCTGGATGCTTTGGATGATTTATTTGCTTTTTTACTCTGATAATTCTGTTACAGACTGGTTGCAGTAACAGATGTGAATGAGTAAGCTGTAGGCTCAGTGTACCACAAATGAAGTTTTTCAGACAGCAGAAATGGGGAGGACACAAAGACATTCTGCCCATTTATTGTTTTTTAGCAGCATGAATGACATGGCAAAATTAAAATATATTAAAAACTCTGCATCCAGTGTGCAAAAATCAAAACTATCGTTTCTTATTTTCTGTCAGCCTTAAGTATGACCACACGATCATGATGTATTCAAAGAAGGCTGGTTTTGCAGCTTAGTTTTTCATATACAAACTGTACAGACTGCAGTGCGAACACTAAGATTTGAAACCACTACAATGTTTACAGATTACATCAACCACACATTCAAATAAAGCAAAGAATCCTTGGTTTTATATTATGTGATCAGAGAGTCGCAGTCACTCTTCACTGTGTCTTTCCTACTCAAACAAATTTGTTGATCTCTTCATAATTAGCTTATGAGTCATTGTTTCAGAGCCAGGACAAACTGCAGGCCACCTCCAACTCTTAACTGACTGTTAACAAACTCCAGAAATGGATTAATTATGATCGATTAGTGAAAATGCTTTGGCTGTTCTTCAGATCGCACAGTGGCATTCAGTGATTAGTGTGAAAATCACAAGTATGTTCTTTCTCAGTGAAAGTGAAATCTCTTTTTTTTGCTTTTCTGTTTTTCTTTCTTTATTTGCTCTTTAATTTCTGTCTGTCTTTCTTTATGTATTCATCTCTGTCTCTCTATTTCTGTCTTTTCCTCATGTATTTCTTGTCCTCTCTTTTCATTCTTTTTTGTTCTTTCTATCTTTTCTTTTCCCTTTCTGTCTTCATTTATTTATGCATCTCTCTCTTTTTCCTAGTTTCTTTCTCTCTCTCACTTTCTTTTTCTTCCTCATTTTCTTCTATTGTCTTTTTTCTTTCTCTCTTCCTTACTTTCTTCTTCTGTTTTTTTGCTCTCAATAATTTTTTTTCTTATTTCTTTCTCTAATTCTCCCTTTCTTTTTCCTTTATTTTTCTTCTCTCCTTCTTCTTCTATACACTTCTTTTCTATACTTCTATACTCGTTCTCTCTCGTGCTCTTACCTCGTCTGATGGCGGCAAGCAGGTCGCTGCGTGCATCGCTCATGGGGATCAAGGGAACTGGGCCCTTCCTGGGGGCCGCCGCCTCGGCCGGAGCTTGGGGCAGGCTGTGTGTGTGAGGGTGTGGGTGAGTGGGGGGTCCGGGAGGGGGTGGAGGTGGGGCAGCAGGTGGTGGGTGGGCAGGGGAGGGGGTGTATGAGGCTGGAAGGGCAGGGGTTGGGGGTGAGGGGCTGTAGGAGCGGGACAGTGAGGCCACAGCGCTTGGGGGCAGTGAGGATGGGGCTGAGGGGCTGTCGAAAGCCGTCTGAGCTGAAGGGATGATGGGAGGAGGGGGAGGAGGGGCAGGGGGGATGAAGTACTCTGGATGCTGTACTTGCGGACCACTGCAGGAGAAAAACAGGAAATAGCAGGAACACTGTTTTCATCATATATGGCCATTTAAAGTTTTGAATCAGTGCTGATAATACTAAATCAAATACATTTACATAAATATAATATATACATAAAATATAATAATAGAACCACTTTGACTGCAACTACAGAGAAATTACTGTTTGTTCAACAAAAATGTACAGAAGTATGAAATAAGATTTTAGAATATCATAAGAAACAAATTTCCACCATCATGCAAGAACAAACACACACAAACTCACCTGTAGTCTTTAGCCTGTGTGGGCCGAGGGCCATTGAGGGCTGAATCTGTGGCTGTGGAGCCGTGTGAAGATTGGACCCTGCCCAGTGTCTGTCTGCCTGCTGGAGTGGACAGTGTGCCTGAGGGCCTGTAGCCTTGCTCCAGGCTCTGCGTCTGGCTCTGTGTCGGGGCCAGGAGAAGCTCCTTCCCCTCACTGCTGGAGTACGTGCTGGAGGGAGCTGTCTGCTGCACTGGCCGGCTCGGGCTGCCAGGGTACGAGTGATCACCCATGTCTGACGCCACTGACCTGAGAGCAGGACAAAAATGGAGGGAGGAATGAGCTCTCAAAAATGGCTCAAAAGAGGTTCGAAGAGTTGGAGTTACATACTGTTGTTAAGAGAAATAAAATCTCCAGCCTAAAGAGATACAGTCAGTCAGTAACTGGCATCAAGGGATTCCTCTATCTGAAAACCTGAGAGCAAATAACCTTCTTAGTACTTTAAGAAGTTGCTATATACATAATTTTCTTTCACCTCATTTTTTGGGCACAATATCAATTTGATTATTATACAAAATAATGAGATGAGATCTCATTATTTTGCAGCAGTGCCATTAATTTGTAGGTTTTGTTTCTTTTGCAATAAGCAACTGTGAAAGAACAGCACTTGTGCTCAATGTAAGTTACTTAAACAAACATAATGTAACATTATGTCCTCACACTATTGTGTTCACATTATGAAAGACCACTAGATGGCAGCAGAGAGAAAGGATTAAATCTAAAATGGCTTGTGCTGCTAGCATGCTGAGCCTAGGTGCTGGGCGTTTCTCACCTGCTGTCAGGCGAGAGTGACCCCTCTGAGGACATGCCGTGGTATGGAGAGGGTGTGAATCGAGCATCGGGGCGAAATTCTTTATCATATGCCAAAACATTCCACTCCTGCCTGCGATTGCGAGCCTTCCGAACCTTCTTTACCACCCGACTTGGATCTTCCACCTGCTTCTGTTGCTCCTGAGAGAGAGAGAGAGAGAGAGAGAGAGAGAGAGAGAGAGAGAGAGAGAGAGAGAGAGAGAGAGAAGAAAGAAAGAAAGAAAGAAAGAAAGAAAGAAAGAAAAGATAAATAAAGGGTAGAAAGAAAAAAAAACAGATTTTGCTGAAACAGGAGAAAATATAAATGTTGTTTCATCATGCCCACCACTCATTACTACAGAGTCTAGACCTACACACACAGTTCTAAAAGCAAACCCCACAAACACACTGGCTGAACAGCTTTTATCTAGAAATCAGAGAAGCTGGTGGAGAAACATGGAGACGGACAGATGATGGGCCAGCCGGCCGAACAAACTGAGGGACGGACGAGCAGTGGAGAGAGGGAGAGAGGGAGGAGAGGGGTTGCAGTAAGGTGGGTTTCTTACAGCGGAGCAGAGGGGGCTTCTAGGATGGACCTGCCTGGACTTAGACTGGGCCGAGTGAGCCTGGGCTGGAGCGCTTGTCTGGAGAGAGGGGGGAGAGTCTGGGGGGTTAGAGCTTCAGCTCCACACACACACACCTACACACGCACACACACCTACACACTTGGGGGAGTGGTATTGTGAGAGGGTAGTCAGACACAGATATAGAGCTACTGCTCTTCAAACACACAAACACACCTACAGGTGGGGGGTTTCTATCACCCCACACATACTAGGACTAAGATTCAGGTCTAGTAGTGGGAGATGATGTGTTTACTGGTAGTTGGGGGGGAGCGTGTTTATACTAATAGAAAATATGTGAGCTAATGTGCAAGTATTAGTGCTGTAACTCCAGCTGAATTATCTAAGAAAATGTCAGTGCTTCATTTAGATATAAGTAAACAAATTTACAAACAAATTTACAGTGTTTTCCTCAGCCCACATAGCTGTTTGTTTTGGAAGTTTATTTCAGGCTTGCATTAATTAATTGTCACTAATTAATTAATTACTTGCTGGCGTTGGTAGGTGTGGTGGGACTAATGCGTACATGCTTCTGCAAGCTGCAAAAAAATTGTGCTCTGTGCTTCATACAAACTGCATGCAAACTACATTTGCGCAACTAAATCATCACGCATTTGTCTCAAACAGCCTTGTATGTGTTTGATATGGGTGTGCTTATGTGTGTGTTTGTGTGTGGTGGAGAGTGGAGGGCAGTAAATCAGTACGAAAACCTGGAACTAGAACATAATGTAAAATTAAAATCAACAGTAGTGTCTATAGTGGTTATGGTTGGCAATGGAAGCAGCAACTGAATATAAACACTGAAGCAGAAAGCAATTCTCTCCAACTCAGAGATAAACAACTTATAAAAGAAACACACACACGCATACACACACACACACACACGCACACACACACACACACACACACACCTTCTGTCGTCTCTTCTCTTTCCTCTTGTCCTCTGTGGCTTGCAACATTTTCTCCTTCCACAGGTTGAAGAAGTAGGAGGGGTCAGTGTAGAACTTCAATGCATCCTTTTTGTCATCTCTAGAGAGAGAGAGAGAGAGAGAGAGAGAGAGAGAGAGAGAGAGAGAGAGAGAGAGAGAGAGAGAAAGAGAGAGAGAGATAAGAACACAAGGCTATACTTATTATTTATTCACAGTGTAGTGTCTCCTTGTCTTTTTGTGTCTTATTTGTTCCAAGCTGATAAAAACAGAATATGCTAAACGTCTGATCTCTCTCTCTCTCTCTCTCTCTCCTCTGGACTCAGACATTTCAAAGGCAGTCTAGACTGAACAGCTACAAAACAGCTACATAACACTGCATTTACCAGTCTCACACTCTTCTCACACTCCTTCACCGACACCATCTATCACTCTCCTACCTCCCTCTATCATCTCTCCCACATTCCTCCAAGCTCAGCTACTGCTTCACTATGTTGATCTCCACCAATGACTGAAAATTACAAACTACGTAAGTAAAGTAAGTACCTAAGTAAATTATTATAGTAAAAAGGTAAATCAACAGCAATTAATCAGCTAATTAGTAGTGACTTGTAATTCCTAATGACAGGTCAAATGTAGTGGTCAAAACAGAGAATGACCCAATACACTGGTTTTAAATAATTAGTAGGAAATAATAAAACATTTTACATGATTGTATAATGACAGATAAAGCAGCATAGAAAGAATGATGAGGTTAAAAATGTACCACCCACAGAATATTCAAAATAGTGATCAAAACTTAAAGTAAATGATTGTAAATAATAATAAAGCTGTAATTATCTATCATCATTATCATCATTACCCATCATTTAATGATTTATTGTTCTTGTAGATTCTAAATTTTTGTGTGGTATTCTACACAAGGTGATAAGGAATGATACAAGTAAATCTGTCCAATATGTCCATGATGAATGCTGAATGCTGAAGTCTGACCTGTATGGACTGAGGATATTGAGTGGAGGAGGTTTGTCTCCATGATGGTAAATCTCCATAACGGGGTTGGGGATGGAGGTTCGGGACACCACCTGCTGATCCTGAGTGGTGGAGCTCTTGAATGCCTTCCTCATGTTTATGTCCTGCAGAGAAACTGGAGAAAGACACACAGAGAGAACAAGGCAGTTTTTAAATAGAGAAAGAAAGAAAGAAAACGTTTTTTTTAATTAAATAATAATAATAATAATAATAATAATAATAATTTTTATTTATATATCACCTTTCATATATTAAAAATGCAGCTCAGTGTGCTTCACAACACAAAGTAAAAACAACAGAGGAAGAACAGAAAAAACAACCAAAAATAAAACAAACAAACAAAAAATGCAACAAATACAAGCAATAGCAGAAAAGGGGATATACTAATAAGTCAAATTAAAATGCACAAGATAAAAGTATAAATAAAAATACAACTAACAAGAAAGTAAAAGTAATATTCCAGTAAAAACAGTAAAAAATCATTAAAAGCTAAAGTAAAGAAATATGTTTTTAACTGTTGTTTTTAAGTTTTAACCTCAGAAATGTATGAAGTTGCTAAATCATTAAAAGATTTAAAAACTAGTAGTAAAATTTTATAGTCGATTCAAAACAAACGGGCAGCCAGTAGAGTGATGCTAAAACTGGTTTAATATGATCTTGTTTTCCATGTCCATGTTAATATTCTTGCTGCTGCATTTTGCACAAGCTGCAGTTTGTTTGTTCATAGGTCTTCCTACAAGTACAACACAGCATTGCAGTAATCAAGTTAAGAAAAAAACAAAAGCATGAATCAATTTCTCAGCATCTTGCAGACAGAGATGAGGTCGAACTCATGCTATATCCCTTCAATGATAAAAAGAAGTTTTGGCAATATTATTAATATGTGGTTTAAAAGTTAAATCAGAGTCTAGAGATACACCAAGATTCCTAACTTCAGCTTTTATTAGTAGAGCCAGACATCCAAGTCTTTCATACAACTTCTTCCTCTTTGCTTCACTACCAATTACAATTATTTCTGTCTTGTCATCATTAAGTCTAGAAAATTGCTATTCATCCAGCTAACAATGCAGGACAGACATATTACCAGCTTGTCTACAGTAGTGACATCATCTAGAGCTATAGTTGTGTATCATCTGCATAACTATGAAAACTGATGCCATGCTTCTCAATAATCTGACCAAGTGGCAGCATATACAAAGAAAACAGAAGTGGACCTAGTACAGAACCTTGTTGTACACCACAGAGAATTTCATGCTTATCTGAGATATGTTCACCCATGCTTACAAAATACTGTCTTCCAGTTAAATATATAGAGAACCAGTTTGACACAGTTCCAGAACGACCAACCAAGCTCTCAAGCCAATTTAGAAGTATCTTTGGTCTACAGTATCAAATGCAGCAGTTCAATCCAGAAATATAAGTACCGAAACATCACCTGCATCAGTATCTATTCTCAGATCATTCACTACCTTCACTAATGCTGTTTCAGTGCTGTGATTTGCTCTTAAGCCAGATCAGAATTCTTCATGGATACTGTGTTCATTTAAGAAATTGTTAAGTTGTGAGAAGACTATTTTTTCAATTATTTTACTAAAAACAGAAAGTCTGTAACTGCTAAGAACTGAGGGATTAAGGTTATGTTTCTTCAATAATGGTCTAAGAACTGTTGGTCAAGCTTCAGCCAGAACTACATAACAGACTCGTAACTTTCGGGGGGACTGGATGGGGCTGAAAAGACTGCATTCTATCTCTGGAAGTTCAATTTCTGATGCCATAGTCATTCATGAACAGGTAATTGATTTCTGTGCAACCATCTTGCTGGGTGTGCCAATGGCAACAAGAGAGGCTGCTTCAAACACCTGCTGCAACAGTTTTTAGTAGAGGATACAGGAGTGTATGCTACCAAGTAGAGATTTTAGAGTGACACTAAGCTTGGACAACAATGTTAATTTAGACAAACCTTTATTAGCTGCAGAATCATCACTATAAACAGCATCAGTTACACAATACCATGTGAGAGTTTCAGACCCTTACCCTAAAACTTACATTTCTCCCTGATTGTAAAATAATTACCTTATAACTACCAATCTTTTCCATCATATACATTTTAACTATTCATACATTACAAAGATTGCACAAAGGGAATGGGTTAATAAAAGTGAAGCAGTAATAAGTAAGTAACCTACAATAAATTGATAATATGGGTGCTTATTTAAATAATAAACTGAATTGATAAACATTCAATAATATAAATTTTCAGCCCAAGGCTAAGTGACCAATGGAAATGAGTAGCCTGGTGTAGAAACTATGATTAGCCACTGGGATAATTAGAAGCATGCTTCAAAGTGACAGACTGAATTAATCAATATCCACATCATGATGATGAAATGTCTGGCCTGTTTTTGTTATTGCTTGTTCCCTACACTCCTTTACATTCTTCTAGGGCATGAGAGGAGCAGTTGTAGGGGGGAACGAGGAAAAGTTTTGGGATGCAGCCCATGAGTCCTTGCTTAGCCTCCTGGTCAGACTGACAAGGTCACTCCCCAGGCTGTTGTGACCAGAGCAATTATCTCTACTCTCACTAGGTGGGAAAGGCTTAGCTCCTCTGTCCCTGTCAATGCAGAGCAACACGAGCCAACTGTGGGCATCTGCTAGGTCATATATACAGAGCAGGGCAGCACAAAGTGTAGCAGTTGGCTGTAATAGGTCACAGAGGAAGCTTGTGTCAGCGCTTATCTTCCTAAACTGGTAGCTATACTGCAATAGGGGCGAAAACTGATATAAGTGAATATGAGTGGCAACAACTAACTTAGAGGAGATAAGTAGGTGTATATTTAAGGGGAAATAACTGTGCTCCTCTTAGATCCTTCACTAACTCCATTCGTCTCATGAGGCATTCTCCCATTATGCTCTTAATCACATTTATTACAGCACAACTGACAGCAGATGCAGAGCAGAGACCCCTCGCGCTGCGAGAGCAAGACCGCTGGGCCATAGAGAGCACTGATTTTTAAGTCAGTTGGGAGTTTTTTCAGGTCATTAGTTAAGGTCAAGATTATAGTAGGAGAAGCTCTTTGGTCAGTTTGCCGGACAGCCTCTCTGCAGAGTAGATATGGCAGAGCTAGGTAAATACCAGAGAAAATCCAGCTTAAGGCTCTTTAAAGCAAAGGGATTTACCACTGGAGCCTATGGAGGATGAACAGAGAGCTACCCAGGACCTGACAGATGGCCATTCTCACATTCTCTCTCTCTCTCTTTCTCTCTCTCGCTCACATACATAGACAGTAGAATCTGAGTAGAATCTGTAATGTAACAAATAAAACTGCATTGCATGCATCAGCTCTGCAAGGCCTACTGCTGCGTTAAAGAGCACCAATTATGTTCACTCAGCATAATATTAATCTGGCAATGAGAACATACGGAACAGAAAAAAGCAACACTGACACAGTGCATATATTTAATGTACACTTAAAGGCCAAATGAGAAATACCATACAGGTCAGTTTTCATACTGCAAGTTTCATACTTTCAAGAAATAATGCACAGTAACAATACACAAAAAAAGGTTTGACTACATATTGGCACTCGTGTAAAAACACAAGCTAGACTTGAGTCACTCAACATAGCCATGAACTACTGCTACAACTACTTTGACAGGTAGGGTCCGTGACGTGTAGGAATAGACAACAGTCAAGACAGTGCTGTAGCAAAAACACACCCACATGAAACTAAGCACTATGAGTGTCAGCAAACGTACAACGATATCTTATTTACTAGCCCATGAATGCTTCAAATATAGCTTTTAATTAAAGCCAGGATCCCATGCATTCTTTCAGTCAAGTCCCTATATCTATATTTATTAATATTGTGATAAATTACATCGTCACACTATGCTTTTCTGAGCATATCGTGGGCATTGTCAGAACACTGATCATTTGCATGTTTCATTACAAAGAGAGCATAATTAGTTTTGTTTAGTTGTAAGCTGGTTGCTTACAAATATACTTAAATGTTGTATGTTGTATTTGTTTTATGCTTCTATTCTTCTGGTCTGTATTGTATCTTAACCATGCTCTCTGTGTGACTGTCATAGCTCTTCTGGATATGTATAATTATTATGTAAATATATTTTCCTATAAGCCTAATTTGAGTAATAATTGAGAGTCAGACCAATGGAGATGTCATGTGTGCAGTCACTTTTTCATTATTCAGGAGCTGCTCTTCGTTAGGCATGTCTCAGAGGTCTGTCTGTCACAGAGGAGGGTGGGGCCTGCTGCTGATTTACACTGCGGGCTTTGATTTAAGGAGTCTGTGACCGTCTCATTTACTCTCTAACTGGAGCTGTCACAGATTAGCTGCACCATATCACAGCTCTGATTAGGCCTTAAGGGCCACCGTACTGCCTGACTGAGCATTAAAGATTAAGTAGGATGGCATTTCGCACACAGGAGGGAAATCAGCGCTATGCAGACAGTCTTAATGTGGGTCAATGTTAGACACCATTTCTAACAAATTTGTGGCAGGAGTTAATAAAAAAAAAAGCCATGTGACAGAAAATTTGCAACCCAAGCTTAGAGACAGTCCTGGTTTCCAGGAACAGCTGTCACTGTTGCTTTAAAATTAAGTCAGAAATAGTACCTGCTTACTAGTTTACTACATTTGGGGTGTATTTCTCCAGCACTCAGCACCATCTTCATCAAACTTGTCCCTCTTGGTGTGGAGAGCAGGTGTTGCCTAAACAATGATTTGACAGTTTCTCATTGTTGCTAAAACTACATACTGAAAATAATTTGCCCCAAAAGCTGGTTTAAACACCTGAGACGACTGCTTATGACATCACAACAAAGAGATAACATGTAGAAAGTTCGTCCTCATTCTGTCCCTTCAGTTATTGTAGTTTTTAAACAGCAAGGTTGAAACAGCTGTTCTATTTTAAGGGCCCATAACCTACACTGTTCTTGCATTTTTTTCTTATATTTTTTCCCCGTAAGGTCCATTTATAACTTTGTATGGTTTTGTACACCAAAAATAGCCATAATTATCGCATTACTAATTCCCAACCTCACTTTATCCCTTAGAAATAAACAGACTTCTTTTGTTATAATTCAAATAGCAGTCCTGGCTGAAACACTCTTTATAGCTTCAGTGTGAATAGGTGGGGCAAAACTGATGTGGGGCTAAATTGATGTGAATAACAATGTATAAATGTGCTGATTTTTGTGACATCACAAAAATAATTCATTCAAAATGGGCTGTTGCAGTGTACTTTCTATATACGGATGGTATGGACCGAGAGTGATTGGCATATTTCAAAACTTTATCCATGTTTATGTACTACATAAGCTATTAACATGTTAAGCTATTGTAAATCAACAACAAAAACATGCTAATTTATTAAAAAATCACCAAACTGCATCAAAATATTGTCACACAGGCTTGTGTGTGGGTCAGTCACTGTTAATGGCTATTTGTTTAATCAAGTACTAAGAACCAAGTGCTGTACTATATGTTGTTTGGCTATAAACTCTAACATAAAACAACAAAAACAAATAGGCACAGGTTTCCTCTTGTCCCCCAAAGGTAATCAGCCAAGAGATTTGTTTGAAGTTTGCACTAACAAGTAATGCAAGCTTATACTTCAGGAATTAGCACTGTGCAAACTGCTTGTCTAAATAAAATTACACATACCTCAAACTGCTTCACTGGACAAAAAGCTCGAAAGATTTGTCTTCACTTTTGTCCATTTTATAGATGGCAATATCGGTAGAGTATCAAAAAACTGCACAGGCAAGTCTATTCGAGATTACTTAAAAGGGGAATTTCACAAAAATTCTGCACGATTTAATCATTAGGATGTAAACAAAGTAATTCAGAGAGGTTTGATGTGAAATGCTCCGTCCTAAAGAAACTTACTGAGTCAGGATTGTTCACAGTGGTGGTGATGGGAACCAGAGGTCTGAAGAGTTTAATCCATCTAAAAGCTCCCTCACAGGACGTTATCACATAAAACAGTTGTGAATATGCTGTCTGATGACTGAAACACTGTTTTAAGGCCATTTTGAGAAAAAGATTTCGGCATAAAACATATTTTTTAATCCATTCATGCCAGAGAGGTATATGCAGAGTGTCCCCAAAGAAAACTTAACTTTTTCAAATTACCATTATTTAAACATTAGCAGTTTTATATACAAACAGTCAGAAGACACATGTATGTTCACTAGTTATTTGGGATAATAAACAAAATGGCTATATTTGAGTTGCACATATATAAAGTTGCCTGGTCCCTATAACCATTACTGTAATGACACTTGAGTAGATACATTTCTTTATAACAATTTCTGAATGACTTTTATTTACATCTGAATGAATTAGGCAGAAATTTTGAAAAATTGGTGGAATTCCCCTTTACCCCACTCAACACACTTTAAGGCAAATGTGCAGTGACTAAGTCATGAGGTTTGCACAATGCTAAATGGAGTAGTATAAACTTCCAGTGCAAAACTAAAGAAGTAAACTTTAACAAACATATCTAATTCACTACATTTGATGTAAAGAGAAAACTTTATATGCTGAATTTTTTTATTGAACTATTCGTTTAAACTGCAAAAGGCTGACTGTGTGAGGCTACAGCAATATGCTGACATTCACATTCATGACAATCACATCTGGATTGTCACAGATTGAGGAAAAGAGAATGAGGGTCAGTATTTTGATCACTCTGCTACATCGCCCAAATAAGGTGCAGGCACATTGATCGGAAGGTGGATGTGCCTATAGAGATCAGCTGATTGCTATTCAGTAAATTTCTCCTCTAGCTCTACCATTCACTTCAATTTCTGTCTCACCTGACCACAATATTTCTGGAGTTGACTGTGTATTGCTAATGCAAACTGTTTTATTTAGCTAGCTTGGTAAATCTTCCAGCATGGATTGGTGTCTCATTCACAACAGGCCCCGGATCCCCTACAAAAATCAGATGCAGAATTCCCTTTTGTCAAACCCCCCGTTCTCAAAATTAAACTATGTCCTTGTTTATATACCATGTTTAGGAGAAGCAACATTTCTGTTGTTGCCCACCCAAATAATTCAAATGCCCACCCAAAGATGACATCCTAGTAACATCTCTATTTTAAACAATGAAACATGGAGCTTTTATAAAATGCACATTTTGTTCCTCCCGATTTATAGTTTAGACTTGATTTCCTGATTTTTACACACACACACACACACACACACACACACACACCTATCTGGTTTATCAATATTCAGAGGCTGTTTTTCCTTTGTTTGACTTTTCCTCTCTTCCCCACCCTGCTGTTTCTCTGAAGCTCTTCCCTCTGTACTGTAAACTGCAGCCTTAAACATGAAGATCGGGTCATCATCAGGTCAGACAGACACACACCCAAATACACACACATGTAATGGATTCCCTGCGGGCCTTCATCAGTAGAGGCATTAAGAGCATGGGTGGGGAGGTGTCTATCTTTCTCCCACAGGGCAGTCCACTGCAGGCAAGTGGCCAGGGTTACATGGACACATTAGTGTTTCTCCAATGTGCTGAGGAGTCACTGGGGGGAATAGTGCTGTTAATTCTCTGCTACTCCTCCTGAGGTAACCGAGTTAGATTTAGTTTTCTGTCACTTGAGACGCTTTTTATATCTGCATGTTAAATCTGTTCTACTTTATTGCGAGTAATCTAGTCAGAATGTTTGAGAGATAAACATCTCTCTACTGAGTAGCATCAAACACACACACTAAGATCAGAGAGGCTTTGTTGAGATCAGTGGTGTGATTTGCTTTACACTGTGAAAGTTACCAGAGGGGCGCTGAAGAGCACTGTACTCAGCTTCATGGGTCAAAAGCCATAAAAACACATGCCAGTCACACGAAGTCCGGAGCCATTACCTTCATTTTGCTATACTATTTTAATGATATTATGTAATAGCATAACTAATTATGTAATTACATAACTAAAAACTATTTAGACAATTAGATGTACTTTTAAGTTACATTCTGCATTGAGAGATCTGAGTCTGTACTTCTGACATTGTTCTGTTTATTTCAATGTCAAACAATGACAAAAATGTACCAGATGATTATTCTTTCTGCAAAACAAGTGTGCACAACAGGATTTTTTTTTCTGACAAATTCAAATAATAAAAAAACAACAATTTTTGTTACTTTTTTACAACACTGATGTTTTTTTACACGCATTCTAAATATTATATGGTGGTTTTTACACAACTGTTGAATTAAGATGGTTTTAAATAATTTGCTTTGGTTCCTAGAACTTTATCACTGTACTGTATGACACCATATAATACTGTAAATTTAAATTACTTTTTTAAGGATGAACATTCAAAACTCAATTACCAAACTGAGATACCAACAGAATTCGTCTGGTTTCAATGAGCTTGTGAGAAATTATCAATATCAAATTACACTATGCTTTTATATATATATATATATATATATATATATATATATATATATATATATATATATATATATATATATATGTATATATATATATATATATATATATATATATATATATGTATGTATGTTACACTTACTAATATAAGATATTAATAAAGATATGTTGCCAAGGACGTGTTGTTAAGGTGACTAAGAAAGAAGAGATCACACGGCTTTTATCACAATATAGACTAGGCTGATGTTAGCTAGGTCTGGAAAGTTTTATCTTCTCTGACAAACAAGCATTGGAACATCATCCACTGATGAGGACAAAGACCTTGTGTAGAAGATGACGAGTCTCCACCAGCATCTAGTGTTGTACTGTTTAGCTGTAGTTTTAGCTCAATGTTGTTTTCATCTGACACCAAAACCTACTTTTTTGTATTTTGAATAATGAAACGTTTTGAAATCTATTCCTCCGCATGACGCAAATTTGTATGCAACAACAGTGCTGCCACCTAAAAAGGTAAGCCACAGCTCGAGATTAATGCCAACCAATTTTTCCTCAACTGTAGTTAACCAGATGTTCATTTATGAACTCTTATGGATAGTCGAATATAAAAATTTGTCATAATGCACACACCGCTCAATAAGTTGACTCAAGAACGATGTAATGATCCATATGTAATTGTCAATGCAACCTTTCAAACCAAGCTTGTCTGTGCTTTAGATCCGTTTCCTCTCCCATGCTGAGAAACTGGGACATCATTACATATACAGAAAAGAGTGAATTGGAGAAGGGTAACAGAATGCACCCTCAGAGACGCTGAGATGGTGTTGCCCTGAATGAGGAACGTGAAACACTGTGGTAGAACTAGAGCGAGGAGAAAGGGCGAGAGAGCACGAGTGTAAGAAGGAAAGTTATTTCTGTCCATGAGACATTCTTTCTCCATCTCTCCTGCAGTAAAAAGCTAGGCCATGTTGCTAACTATAGTCTCAAAGGAGGTTTTAATAGAGGACAGTGCTCAAAGGAGCACACACACACACTCTCTCTCAAACAGCCTGATAACACGAACATCATGATGAAGCCTTAAGACCATCAGAGGAACTCTGAGAAGGTCAAGATCAATAATAGCAGCTCTTACCTTCCTCCACAGTGGAGTCCAGCTGGGTGACTTTGACAGCCAGCAGGTCTACACGCTCCTGCAGGTGGTTCATCCGCAGGTAGAAGCTGTTGGCTTCTTTAAACAGCTCCCCAAAGATGTCCTCCGCATGACGACCTGCAAAGGGTCAGCGACCAACAATAAGCGCAGAGCAGCGGAGGGACATCACCCCCCCCTCCATTCCATCTCAACAGGAGAGGAATGACAAGTGAGGAGAATGAGAACTCCTACACCTTCTTGCTTCCTTTCCTTTTCCTATTCACAATATGCATTTCGAATTTTAATAAAGAGATAGTTCACTACATAGTGTGCCATTTAACAGCATTGTGTGAATTCGCAGCAATAAATCTTTCAAAATCATTCCATGCTCGTTCCCTAGTCATTTTCTATTTAGATAACATAGCAAATAGTGAATGATTTAACGAGTGGACCATTCTGAACACAGAGAAACTTCTGTCTCTGCATCAATCTATTTCTTCTTTCATGATGCAACAAAATGATAGAAGCCACATTGCCCCAAGTATCAGTCTCAGCAGACCGGCCCACAGAGGTTCAGAGTGTCTGATATCTATTGTACGTTGAGCTGGCCATAACTGTCAGGATTTTGTCAGGCCCATGTCTCCACATTTCTGAGCATTGTTTTAATCTGTCCAATAGGACACAGTTTTTGTGGTTCTGCGCACCGTGAAGTCTTTTGGGGAAAGAAAAAAAACAGTAAAGTTTAGGGCACCATATCTTTTCAATTTATTCCACTTCCAATTTATTCTATTTCCCAGTTTACCAGGTGCGCTATTACAGCCCCGTTTTGAAAATTGCCTGCCCTTTTACATCACACAAAAACAACAGTCTGTGACTGGTTATTTTGTATGCAAGTCAGATGGCCATTTCCTGTTAAACTAGGTGGAAGTCAGATTTTATTTACTTATTTTTTTACAGACAACGTTCTCAAAAGTGGACTGATGGACAGATGCACAGAAGGATGAAAGATCATACAGATAGACAAAAATTGGACTGATTGGACAGACAGACTTACTGAGGCTGCCGAGCTGTTTGATGATGGCAGCCAGGGTGCTGTTGGTGACGCATTCAAGCTCACTGGTGACTCCATCAGGCAGAGCTCCCCTGCACAGGTGCCTGGGCTCAATACTCCTCTTTACCAGCGGCATGGCTCACTACTGCTGCAGAGACAGAGAGAGGAGAGGTTTAAGTGGCAATCATTGATAACTGACAAATTCACAGCATTTCACCAACTTGTCTTTACTGAAGAGACATTTATGAGTTTCCTCTAAACATTTAAAAACAGAACTAACTTAAACAGGAACCAATGAAACTTGCAATTCTAGTTCTAGTTCTAGTCCACCTGCCACCTGAACAGTCATAACCATTTTATAGCACTAGTTAACTTACCTGGCCGCCCTATAATGTCTACAATTGAACAGGACCATGTGCAGAATCAAACAAAGCTTAGATTTTTCTCTGCTGAGTGTGAAAATATGAGCAAAATTACTTTTTGGAGTAAAAATTACTTCTTTGGAGGCTGGCATAAATGTAACTAATATTAGGATTAGCTTCCAAGTAAACTCTACAAAGCCATCACTCTACAAATAGCCATCAATATACTATTCTAGTTTACATTCTGGTGCACATTTTAGTTTTATGTAAAAGTTTGGCAAAAATTTATCTTCACTAAACTGACATTAGCTTCAGCTGCAGTGTGACTAAAGACAGAGACAAGCACCCTTGAGTACCTTTACATCCTGTTGGTGCCAATCCTGAACAGGTACAAAAAAAAAAACATAAAACTGGACCCTTCAGTTTTAGACTGATGACCAATAGAAAAAGCACAGTTCCAGTTCTTTTAATTTGTGCAGTGGAAAAATGCCAGCAGTTCCTGTTGGGTCAGTTTTTGCTTCTGAATGTCTAATGAAAAAACACCCTTAGTTGCAGTTATCATTAAAACAGCTCCTACTTTGTAGAACCACAGATCAGAAATTGCAACTTGAGCTACAGGTTTAATTCTATAATTGCATTTAGACAGGATTAAAATAAAGAAGAGGTTCATTTTCAAATAATGAATGCAAATTAAGCCAGTACTCTTTAATCAAATGTTTTTGTTTTTTTTTAAATGATGGCAGCATAAGATAAAGAGGTTGTCATGATCTGTAAACAGAAGCAAAAAAGAAGCAAAAGGAACATTCTCCAGGGAAGCCAGGACCAAACCATGATCAACATGCGCACAGGAGCAAAACGGCAGCAGATACTGCAGTAAAAAAAACAAAGAATTTGAGCACTGAGCCGTCTCTCACACATCCACTCTAAATACAGAGACAGCTCGGCGGCCTGGACAGTTTTGATGAGGGATAATGGCAGCATAAAGAGCTCCACATTAAAGCTAGCGTCTCTGCTCCACCGCGCTCACTGAGCTGTTTCACTGGTGAGCTTGGTTTGTACATGTGCGTGTGTGTGTGTGTGATTTCCCCTGGGGCCAATTCACATCTCAAGCTGTTTCACACCACAGCAGACAATACAGAACAGAGATCTAATGAGCCACTGGCCACTGCCACACATACACCAGACACTTCTGTGCACCCACACATATAGGCAATGCTCCTAGGGCCTGATCAATATGAACATTTGGTATCCCTTCACAATAAAACTACCCTTATAAACGGTTTAGGATTTACTTAATTAAACCTTAATTAAAAAAAACTTAATGGATATTAATTACATCATACTTTAAAAATTTAGTAAGCAAAAATTTAAAAAGGCAGCGGCATAAAATATGTTAAACTCTGCACATGAATGGAAATTGTGCACTACAATTTGCAGAAAAATATCATATTTAAGTTTATTCTTTGTATTTATATTTTCTGTATGTTTTTACTTCTGTACTATATTATATGATTGTCAGTTCTCAACTGTCTCATTTCTGAAACTCAAACAGCAGAAACATAAGTCTTAAATCAGTAGTTCTCAGTCCAGGTCCTGGAGTCCCATTCCTTCATACTGTAGTGTTTTCCCTGCTCTAACGCTCCCAGTTCACCTCTGGAAGGGTAATTAATTAGTTCATTAGTTGAATCAGGTCTGTTGTCTGCGAGGGAAACTCTAAAATGAGCAGGGCAGTAGCATTTCAGATCTCACTCTGAGAAACAACGTGTTAGTTAATACAAATCAAGCAGTATGTTTTTTTTGAGCAAGCAGTGCTAAGCTTGGACAATAATGAACATTTCAAAAAATCTGCAGAATACTAGAGAAAAGATCTCTTATACTGGAGCTTCTTTGTTTTATTTGCCTGTTTCTTAGCATTTTTGTCAGATTGATAATCTATATTCTCATTTTTCAACAACTTTGTGTGTGTGTAGTTAATTAGTTGGTGTTTTGTTCGTATAAGAGCAATCTCTATACATTTTTACTAACCATAGATTAGAATGACTGTACAAACAGACAAACCCTTTATCCACAGTAATTCAGATTCCCCACATTGGAGACGTCCAAAGACGTTTTTGGGATTTGTTCAGCAGCCAAATGGTAAAATCTCAAATCATTACTGGCGTTATGAACGACTCTAAACAACCTTTGGACGTTCCATACTTGGTGAGTATAGGCAAGTGTGTGAATTACCTGATCTACGACTAGCATAAACACTAGAATGTAACCTGTGTGGGAGTTTGCATGACTACTCTTGAAAAATGGCTTGGGCAGTGGAGAAATGTTGTTACATACATTATGTAGTAAGAATAGTTGACATATAATTGGATACAAAAATTGACTACAAGTTCCATGAGCACTAGGACTTGACAAAATTTCTGAATGGAGATATGTTTACTACACAACGGTCACATATTGTTGCTGTCAGAACAAAACCTCGTATCTCCAAAAAAGTAACCTTACAGGACAAAGACAAAACATACTTTACTTTTAATTTAAGTCAATGGAACCAAACGTTTTTCCAAGTAATTTTGGGCTGTTTCTTTAGGTCTAGTCACCATGAAATTTACACAAAGCGTAAAGGGCAACAGGCATTGTTGAATTATGCCAAAAACCAAGAAACGACAAAAATGGAGATACAAGGTTTTGGTCCCACAGCAGCGACATGCTGTATACCTACCTCACTACTAGAAAGTGAAGTCATGAAAATGCTGGCAAACTCTAAATTAACTTCATGTGGGACACCATCATTTCTGTCACTGTTTTGAGTTGACGTGTGGGATAAAAAAAATGATGTCTGTGTTCTTATAGTTCACCTACTTAATTCTCAAGGCTGAGAATCTTGAACTTTGTACCTTTAAAGACCCTTTCACAATACTTACACTTATCACAATATTTTGACACCGACACAATGCACTATGCCACATTTAAAAACAGCCTTCAAAAACGTGAACACAATTTTTTTTAATTCAAGTGTTTCACTCACTGCACTGCCCTAAATTCAATTAAGCAGGATTATTTATGCTGTCTTTGTAACAAAACATGTAACTGGTCAATGCTTTTCAACTATGGACCCAAATAATACTTGCTCTGTGATGGTCCTGTGGGGGGTCCAGACCACTAAAGAACAGGGTGAAAGGGGGCTAAGTCTTCAGAGAAACAGATGAACTATAGTCTGTAACTGTAGAACTACAAAGTGCACTGGTAAGTGCTAAAACTGACAAAGAGTATACAATGGTAGATACAAGGTAGATGTACTCGATGAAGTATCTGCTCGGTGTTTTCCACACCACTAATGTAAACTCTGCAAATGGTGTTCCTTTTCATCGACTGCGAAAATCCTTAGCTGGGGCAGCCCTAGTAATAAGTGACTGAAGTAACAGTCTACTTGACACAACACACAAAAAGCTATTAGCATAAGCTCTAACAGGGTCTGCCAAAAGCATAGCACATCACTCTAACTGAAGCCGACTACATCACACCTGATTCACTTATGATTAACTTAAGAGCTAAATGGGGTGTACTGGAGCGAGAAGATCACAGTGCCGTCCACCTCCTGGACTGGAGGAAAGTCCTTCTTAGAATGAGTGAGACTTTAAACTGTTGCTGTACTGCTGAAAGGTGACTGATTTATTTGTTCCTGCATCAGTATTTTCAAATGATAATACTGTTGTTTCAATTCAGGTATATTTGTAAGGAATAAAAATGTACTTTTTACTTTGTTTTTTAGCTCTACTGTAGCCTGTGTTGATTTTATTTATATTATGTTCTGCTTTATTGTTACTCGCACATCTCACTGTGGAGCATTTTAGTTAAGACCAAAAGTACACCAAAATAGAAGAACAGCAACCAACAATTTATTTTCAACAGCAACTAAATAATTTCAAATGTAAAAAATGCACTAACTTCAGATCTCAAGTTTGGCAAAGATCCCACCACTGATGAAGCAGTGTGTCAGAGGCGAGCTGGCTTGTGCTGGAGGAGCAGCATCTAGCTCTAGTCTTGTGGCATCTAGTCACAACAGGTTTCAAATCACAGAATCTGATTTTATGCCCTTAAAGAAACAAAGTTGAGCAGTGAACTGAAATATTAGTGTAGGTTTTTTTTATTTCATTGAAATATGGTGTTGTATCCCCTGAACAGACAGTAATACACTCAGATTTAGTGTTTTACCAAAATCATTTCACCTCTTCTGGATGTTTGCAGACACTAATCAACCAACCAACTGCCTGTGGCATTCTTTAAGCCATAAAAATCAAAAGTAGATTTATTGGGCTTTGTTATAAACTTTGCCAAAGAAAAGCACTGAGTTGCACATGCATTTTTGTATGAATTAAATGATGCAAAGTGATCACTTCTTAAAGATAAAGGTACAGAAAATGAAAAACTGAATATAAAAAATAATTCTGCATGGACCGCATGTTTTGTGACACCACACACAACTTTGACAGCTTTGGGTCTACCATCTGGAAAAATCTAGTAGAAACACTGCACTTGTAGATAATTTATATGGAGATTATTCATATAAAGTGGGACCCTATAATCTTTGTGAATGACACTATATGGAAAATACACCAAAATACAAGCGTCAATTTATTTTCAGACAAAGATTTGTATCCTTAATCCACACCATCCCTCCAACATTATACTCATTATACTGCACATAAAGCACTACACTGAGTCAGATCTACTCAGCAACTTCATATAGAAGTGTGAAGATCTATATCTCTCTATACTCATTGAAGAATGT